TTTGATTTATCAACAATCACTTCCATATGCTTTTGAGTTTAAAAATTTTCTCCACCTCCCTCCCCACCACCTTCACCAAGATAGCACACAATCTGACATAGGCTACACATGTACATTCCTATTAAACATATTTTCACATTAGTGATGTTGTAAGGAAGAATTAGAACCAATAGGAGGAACTACCAGAAAGAGGAAACAAAACTCAACAGAAGAAAAAAATAGAAAATAGTACCCTTCGATCTGCATTCAAACTCCATATTTCTTTCTTTGGATGCGGACAGCATTTTCCATCATGAGGCCTTTGGAGATGTCTTAGATCTTTGTATTGCTGGGAAGGGTTAAGTTTATCAATACTAGTCATCACACAACGTGGCTGTTGCTGTGTACAACGTTCTCCTGGTTCTGCTCACTTCACCCAGCATCAGACCATACAAGTATTTCCAGGTTTTTCTGAAGTCAGCCTGTTGTTCATCATTTCTTATAGCACAATAGTATTCCATTACATTCATATACCTAAACTTGTTCAGTCATTCCCCAGTTGATGGGCATCCTCTCAACTTCCAATTCTTTGCCACCACAAAAAGAGCTGCTATAAATATTTTGTACATGTGGGTCCTTTTCCCATTTGTATGATCTCTTTGGGAAACCCGAGATTTATAGCCCTTTGGGCATAGCTCCAAATTGCTCTCCAAAATGGTTGGATCAGTTTACAACTCCACCAACAATGCATTAGTATTCCAATTTTCCCACATCTTCTCCAACATTTATCATTTTCTTGTTTTGTCATCTTGGCCAATCTGATAGGTGTGATGTGGTACCTCAGAGTTGTTTTGATTTGCATTTCTCTAATCAATAGTGATTTAGAGTATTTTTTCATATTACTATAAATGGCTTTAATTTCTTATCTGAGAACTGCCTGTTCATATCCTTTGACCATTTATCAATTGGGGAATGACTTGTATTCTTATAAATTTGACTTACTTCTCTATATATTTTAGAAAAGAGGCCCTTATTAGGGAGACTGGTTGTAAAAATTCTTTCCCAATTTTCTACTTTCCTTCTAATCTTGGTTGCATTGGCTTTGTTTGTGCAAAAACTTTTCAATTTAATGTAATCAAAGTTATCCATTTTGCTTTTTTTAATGTTTTCTATCTCCTGTTTGGTCATGAATTCTTCTGTTCTCCATAAATCTGATAAGTAATTCCTTGCTCTCCCAGTGTGCTTATAGTATCAGCCTTTATATCTAAATCATGAACCCATTTTGACTTTATTTTGGTATATGGTGTGAGATTTTGATCTATGCCTAGTTTCTGCCATACTCTTTTCCAGTTTTCCCAGTAGTTTTTGTCAAAGTTCTTATTCCAAAACCTGGGGTCTTTGGGTTTATCAAATAATAGATTACTATAGTCATTTACTACTGTGTCTTGCAAATTTAACCTATTCCACTGATCCACCACTCTATTTCTTAGCCAGTACCAAGCAGTTTTGATGATTACTGCTTTATAATACAATTTAAGAGCTGGAATGGCTAGACCACCTTCCCCTGCATTTCTTTTCATCAGTTCCCTTGATTTTCTGGACCTTTCGTTCTTCCAAATGAATCTTGTTATTATTTTTTCTAACTCTATAAAGTAATGTTTTGGTAGTTTGATTGGTATGGCACTGAATAAGTAAATTAGTTTAGGTGGAATTGTCATTTTTATTATATTAGCTTGGCCTACCCATGAGCAACTAATGCTAAGTCTTGTTCTTAATAAAAATCTCAACCAAGTAACAAACTGGAAATGGATCATGAGATGCTGGTATCTCTATTTAAAGCTCTACCAAGAATATAGCTCTTAGTTAACAAGAAACAGAATCAGGAGACTGCTTATTTGACTCTGTTCTGTTAAAATTTAGCAACTCTGTGAAACTAAAATGTTTGTTTATTCTAGAATTTATTTCCTTTTATATTATATAGGGGGTAGAGGTTTTACTGAAAGTCACTGAGGTAGAGGATTAAAAAAATTATGGATCTCTCCCCTAAAGCTCTGCTTTGTTTGTATTCTTTAATCCATCAAAAGTGGCTGCCTCAGAAGGGAGGGCGCATTAAGAGAGGTAGTGTTTGGAAGCAAAACACACTTTTGATGAGGGACAGAGTAAAAAGAAAGAGAAAGAAGGATAAACAGCGGAAAAAATAAGGAGGAGGGAAATAGACAGTTAATAATCACAACTATGAATGTGAAGGGGATGAATTCACCCATGAAATGGAAGTGGATAGTAGAATAAATTAAATACCAGAATCCAACAATAGTTTACAAGAAACACACAGAGTCAAAATAAGGGGCTGGAGCAGAATCTATTATACTTCAGCTGAAGTTTTAAAAAAAGGGTAGTAATCATGATCTCAGATAAAGTAAAAGCAAAAATTGGGCTAATTAAAAGAAATAAGCAAGGAAACTACATTTTGCTAAAAGGTATCATAGACAATGAAGTAATATCAATACTAAACATATACCCACCAAATGACATAGCATCCAAATTCTCAAAGGAAAAATTAAATGAGTTAGAGTAGGAAATAAATCTAATCATAAAATAAACAAGAAAGAAGTGAAGGAGATGAATAGAATAGAAAACTTAGATATGATAGATCTCTAGAGAAAACTGAATGGGAATAGAAAGGAGCATACCTTTTTCTAAGCTGTACATGGCACCTTCACAAAAGTCAACCACGTACTAGGGCATAAAAATGTCACAACCAAATGCAGAAAAGCAGACATATTAAATGCATCCTTTTCAGACCATAATGCAATAAAAATTACATTCATTAAAGGGCCACGGATATATAGATTAAAAATTGGAAACTAAATAATATAATCCTAAAGAATGAGTGGGTCAAAGAACAAATCATAGAAACAATAAATAATTTCATTAAAGAGAATGACAACAGTGAGACAATATACCAAAACTTATGGGAGTAAAGCAGTAATGGATGGAATATTTACCAAAATATAAATTGCCCAGATTAACAGAAGAGGAAATAGAATACTTAAATAACTATGTCTTAGGGAAAGAAATTGAAAGCCATCAGTGAGCTCCCTAAGAAAAAAATCCCCAGGACCAGATGGAAAGAATGACTAATTTCAATGCCATATAAACTATTTGGAAAAATAGACAAAGAAGGAATCTTTCCAAATTCCTTTTATGACACAAATATGGTACCGATACCAAAGCCAAAAAGAGTAAAAATAGATAAAGTATTTATAGCAGCTCCTTTTGTGCTGGCAAAGAACTGGAAATTGAGGAAATGTGGGGAATGGTTGAACAAGTTGTAGTATATGATTAAGATGAATGCTATTGTGTTATAAGAAATGACACAAAGGATGCTCTCAGAAAAACTTAGAAAGACTTACATGAACTGATGATACAAAGTGAAGTGAGCAGACCCAGAAGAATACCTGTGTAAATAACAGCAACATTGTATGATGATCAACTGTAAATGATGTAGCTATTCTGAACAATATAATGTACCAAGACAATTCCAAGAGAATCAATGAAAAAAATGTGAAAGAAGGCAACCGTGCAGTACCAGATCTCAAACCACATTACAAAGTGGTAAAATTACAAAGAGGAAAAATCTTATCCATATCCCCACAACAAACTGATGGAGTCTGAATGCAGATTGAAGCATACTTTTTTAAACTTTATTTTCCATTTCCTTTTGGTTTGTTTTACTTGGCAATATGGCTAATGTGGAAATGTTTTGCATGACAGCACAGGTATAATCTATATCAAATTGCTTGCCTTCTTGAGGAGAAATTGGAAATCAAAATTTAAAAAAATGAATGTTGCAATTTTTTTAATATAAATGAGAAAAAATGAGATTAAAAAATAGGTGACTGCCTCCTAAAAGAATAAATGATTTCGTAAAAGGTGGCAGGTACATAGAACGATCAGACCCACTGTGAAGAGCAGGTGTGACTTCCATAGCTTTGTACAAAGGCTCCCCTTTGCTTTATTTTAAACCCTCATCTCATTCTTTGCAGCCACTAGCAGTAAAAAAAGAAACAGGCAAAAACTATAGGAAAAAAAAATCAAAAGAAAGCCAGTGTTAATTAAGTAATAGCTGAATATTGGAACCACTGGACACCGTAAAGAGGGTCCCCAAGCTTTAGATAGGTGGGAAAGAGAAAACATTGGTGAGCTGCTAGTCTAGGCCTCAGAAGAATTTTAAGAAGTTTATGGCCACAAACTCTCTAGATGCAGTTATTTAATTTTTTCCTTTTCTTTTTAAGAGTTATTTGGGAAAGGGTTGGCTTTAGAGTCTGAAAGATCTGATTTCACCTTATCTTTCATTGTCCTAGAGAAATCACAGTTATTAAAGAGCCTCTGAACTTCATTGGTGCAGGGATTTCCAACACTGGGAATTTACGGCCCGAATCTCCAAAATAAAAAAATTATCCCAGTGCACTGCACAGCACCAGTCCCAGGACGGAGGCAGGACATGTCTCTCGTCGTTTCTGCTTGACCCAGGCCTGCACTCGAACAGGCCCAGGTGTAGATGCATACGCATGCGCATGCGCGGCACCAGCCCAGCAAGGCCACAAACGCGAAAGTACCTCAGGCTGAGCAATGAAGGGGCGGGGCTGAGCCTGAACCGCTCGTTTCTCGGGGTCGAGGGAGTAGGGTGCACTTCGGCTCGACACTCGAGCCTGTGCCGGGTTCTAGGACGACAATACGTAAACTAGCATCGCAGTACAAAGACAGCCTCAAACCCCAAGTCAAATTTGAAACCTATTAGGCGGAAGTACTGGCTAAGTTACTTCCGGTAGAACTCCAAAGCTCCGCCCTCCGTCGGCCGAGCACCAATCACAGGGATCCCCGGGAGTCCGCTCACGCACGGGCCGGGTGCAAGCACGCATGCTCACTATGTCGTATTGGCGTCTGCAAGTGCCGGCAGCGGGGCTCTGGCTGTAACCCGGCTCGAGCGCTAGCTAGGGCTGCCTGGGGGTCTGCGGGGCCGGCGGCACACGAGCCGCCATGCGGCTGGGCTCAGGAGCCTTCGCCGCCTGCTGCGTGGTGATTGAGGTGCTCGGGGTCGCTGTCTTTCTCCGGGGTTTCTTCCCCGTGTCGGTGCGCTCTGCGTCCCGGGTCCAGCCCCTGACCCCTGCGCCGGAGCCCGCGGCAGGTACGGAGGCTAGGCCTCCCCTCCCTCGGTCCCGGGGTTCCTCCGCTGTCCCCCCTGCCCGCCCTTCCGCTACCTCACTCCCCCTCCCCGGGAGCCTCCCTCTGGTGCCCCCCCCATATATGCCAGGTGAGGGAGGGGACCTCCCTTTCGTACTCTTCCCCCCCCAGGATCCTCTTCTCTGTACGCCTCCCCTCCACCCTCCCTCCTGTGAGGGGTAGGGGGTCCTCCCTGCCCCAAGTTCCCTTCTTTGCCCTCCAGGTAAGGGCTCTCTCGCTGGATGGGGGGTGGAGGGGCCTCGCGTAAGTCTGATAAATCAACTCACACGTTAACAGGACCTTTTTGGGTCCTCGCCCTCAGCTCACACCCTTCCCTGCCTCAACCTTGAGATTCCTCCAGAAAGATCCAGCATCTGACCTTCCTTGGCCTCCCCATAGATGCGTTCAGTTTGTCTGTGCCCTCACCCAATCACAAGCGCTGTGGTTCCTTCGGTTCAGCTAGTGAAAATTTATTAAAGCCCTACTATGTGCAAGGCATTGTGTTTCCAACTTCCTTGCTCCCCATAGGTTTATAATGGTGAATTTTTAGTTCATGTTATGTATAGCAATTGGGATCATTAAAGGCTGAAAAGAGACAGGACCTTAGACCTTTCCTCCCACGTTGAATAAAACCAGGACTAAGTACATCATAAAGGTGACGTCTTGACTTCTGTGTGAATTGGATTTAAGTTCGAGTTGCACAAAGTTGACACGAGGGGAAATAAAGTTGTTGTGTAGGCACATTTTACAACCATGACCGACATAAGTGATCCCCTAGAGCCCAACAATGTGATTTGGGAACCTGTGAAAGCAGCCCAGTGATAGTACTGAAAGTATGCTACTGTGGTGAGGTCTCAGTACAGGGTTCCCTGCCCTCAGTGGTTCTGAAGCACAGAACCCCGATTTGTAATTTCCACAGCCTTTCTAGGGCCTGTAAAACTGGTTCCCCTGGTCCAGGATTTTAACCACACTTCCCCAAAACCCCACCCACAATGGGGAAAAGGGCCTTTGCATACTACTGTATTGATCAATTTTTTTCCATTCCGTCATTGCCAAGTAGAGCATATGTCTACAGTAACTTAGATAGTGAGCCTCAGTGGTTTGAGAGCCATTTCTCCCACTCCAGATATGAATGTATAGATTCTTAGAAGAATGATACTTCAACACTTAAAATGACTTGTTTTAGAGCCTGGTCACTCAGATTTACTGGTATAAAACTTTAGTCACTGGGATATTACTGACCCCTTGAAAAATGGCACTATGTGCAGATTTTTTTGTTTTGTATTTTTTTAATCACTTCAGAATCCTTGAATGGCATCTTGAAGCTACATAAACATTTCCCACTCTTTCTCATTAACATATGTTGGACATATACTCTCCTACTGTCCTTCCCATGTAAATGTGTGTAACAGATGTTCCCTGGGGTGGGGAGATGGGAGAGAAGAGTCTTCTTTTCTTTTTGGACTTTTCTTCTTGGCTGGGCCTTGGTTTCAGAATATCTTCTATCAAAACATCTTTCACTAATCTGAGACAAGATTGTCCATTTTATGGGGGATGCTTCTGATATTACCCAGAGAGTTTCCTGGAACTTAGAGCATGTAAAACAGTGTGATATTGCTGTGTATTTACTGCTCCTTGGCTTCTTGCAGAGCTGAGTGATTGTCCAAACACTTCTCGCCTAACTCTCTCAAAGAGCCCTGCAACCCCCTCCCCCCAAAGTTTTCACAGTCATCTAATCCACAGTAACATTCAGTGTGGTGAGTGATGCAAATAAAAAATGCATGCACCTATTTTGCCTTTAATTTCTGATTCAGAGATATCATAAATGGAGTGTCCTGGTCTTAGATTCAGAAGACTTGGGTTTGAGTCTTTAATTAATCACTGTAACTGTTGATTTACTTAATCACTCTGAGCTACAGTTTTCTTATGGGGCTAATATTCCACTGTTAAGTAGATGTGAAAAGTACTGTGTGAACTCTAAAGTACTATACAAATGTGAGCGATCATTACTATATTTGGCATTCCTTAGCCTTGTGTTTATGGCTGTAAATTGTCAGTGATTGCTCGGGTTTATCCAAATGCCTCCAGAACAGAGGTAGACTGAAGAGATCTGAACTAGATTAAAATGTAATTGGGAGATATTTGACAGAAGAAATAAAAATACAACAAAATATAGATAAAACATTACATTTTAAAACTAAATCTTTTTGCAGCATACAGAGATCCTTATGTCTGGATTAGTGGGCCCCATTTCTATTTGCTTTTTACACCACTGCTCAAGAGGACTGAACACCTTCCATACCCTCTCCTCACCTCCCAGCTCTCTTGACCTCCCCCAGGCCACCTGGAGTATGTTACCTATCATTATCTTATGTGTCCTCTTCCATGACTTGCTGTAGCTCACTTAGCCTTGAGAACTAGGCAGAATGATTTCCCACTTCTGTTGAGCTCCTCCCAAACAAAAATCCGTCCTCTGCTACATGCTAACCAATTCCCAAAATTACTCTCCTCCCTGTGCCAGTATTGATTTTGGGTTAACCTCAGCATCAGTACTTTTGACAGCCTAACACCATATATGTTAGTGTGGTACCTTTTTGATAGTAGAAATCCCCAGGTGAAATTAATCAAAGCACAGCTCCACTGATATCTTCTTTTTTCTTTGCTGTGGTCCATGGGGACTGGCTTTCTTGTTCCTTATTAGCTATAACTGGCTGTTATTTCTGAATAGGGTCTTTCCCAACCTTGTCTTTTCCTCCTCCATCATGTTCCTGAGCAGGTAGGTGGGCAGTCCTCTTGAGTCCATAGAGTTGTTTTTTGTTTTTTTGTTTTTGTTTTTGGGTTTTTTTTGTTTTCTTTTTTTATGTGAGGCAATTGGGGTTAAGTGACTTGCCCAGATTAACACAGCTAGTGAGTGTTATGTGACTGAGGCCGGATTTGAACTCAGGTCCTCCTGACTCCAGGGCCGGTGCTCTGTCCACTGTGCTACCTAGCTGCCCTGAGTTTTTAGTTTTTTTTTTAAACATTAGAAATTATATAGGATTGCTATGAGAGGGTGCCGGCTTTCCCAGTAGTTATTAATTTGAAATTATAAAGTCTTAGAATAACTCCTTAGCTTTTTTCTTGACTTGTACTAATCTTTTTATTTGTTTGGCTCGATCATGGCCATTTCTTCCATCCCTCATGTATCCTTCCTCCTCTTGGTCCCCTTTAATACCATCTTCTTACTTGTTCCTCCAATAGAAAAAGATCCAGCACAGTTATAAATGGAGACTGTTTCACTTTTTGCTTTTCCTGGGAAAGCCTTCTTTTGTCATTCCCAGAGGTCACACATTCCTTTTTCCTTACTGGAATTTTTTGCTTGCTATACGTTCTTTATTTCCTCTCCACATAGTTATGAGTTATATTGGTTTCTGTTGCTCTTCCAGTATGTTTTCTTTATGGTTGCCCTTCATGTCTGGAATGATTTCCTTTCTTCACCTCTGCTCCTGGAAATCCCATTTCCTTTAAAATTCAGCTACCTTTTACATAGATCCTCTCCAGACTTTTTTTTTTTTTAACTTTGTTTCTCTAGTGCTTATCACAGTACCTGGCACATAGTAGGAGCCTAATAAATGCTTGTTGGCTTGACTTGACCCCTTCCACTGCCAGCTGCTAGTACCCTCTTTCCCCTAAGTAACCTTGAATTTATATTGTATATGCTTATATGTGTACATGTTACCCCCACTGCAATGTAAGCTCCTTAAATTAAAGGCCTGCATTTTTGTTTTTGAATCATCAAGGCCTATCACATTGCCAGACACATAGAAAGCACTTAGAAATAATCTTTATTGAATGATTAATGTAAACTATATATTAAATGTTCTTATACTGAATATTTTGATCACCTGCATTTCATTCCTTGCCATTAGAAGGTCTAGAGAGGTTATTGCTGTCTGGAAAGGTTATTGGAGGAGAAGTATGGCAGGTGTTCATAGGCAGTACGAAGTTCAGTAGCAGAACATTTTTACAGCTCAGTAGCAGAACATATTGATAGCAAGGTTCTATTGGATGTATGTAACACAATATTGGATTAGAGACTCTGAACCAGTCTTGATTCAAACATAATTATATAGAATTTATGATATATATTATTACAGTAAATATCCCATCATTTTGTACCTTAGCATATTTTTAATGTTAAATGTTTAACGGTTTTGTGTTAAAGGAATTCAAATTCTTTTCTTTTCCCCTTTTTAAATACTTTTGTAGGAACAACTTCCAACTGGACCCAGCTTCCACCTCCTCTCTTCAGAAAAGTTGTTATAATGCTGGTAGACGGCTTGAGAGGCGATTTTGTTTTTGGATCAAAGGGTGTGCAATTCATGCCTTATACAACTTATCTTATAGAAAAAGGATTCACTCATAGTTTTATAGCAGAAGCAAAGCCACCCACTGTCACTCTGCCTCGAATCAAGGTAAACAGTTTGATATGGTGTTTTATGACCTCATAATGGTGGTTCAGAGTGGCTCTGTGTATTCTGGTTCTTAGAATTCACACTTACTACCTTTATTCCTTCCCACTCTGTATATATTAATTTAGGGCTTAGTAGTAATGCAGGAAATAGTCTGGAAATGTCCCCAATAATGTGGTCTGGACCTTTATGGCTTCTGTTAGCAATGAAAATCAGTACTTGCATGATGAATTCCCAGGAAAGGTACTTTGGAAGGAGCTGTAGCTTTAGCATTCAGCAAGATCTCCCTTGTGGTTTTCCGCGCCCATACATAATTGTGTTTAATCATTGTAGACCAGAAGTTTAAAGAGTCGTAGAACTGTAGAACCAAAAGGGATCTTCGAGGAGGTTCTGTCCAGATGTTATCTTAACATCTGAGGGAATGCACCCTGGAGAGATAAAGTGACCATGGAACTACTTCACAGAAGAGCACAAACTGGAAGAAGTTCTTTTGTTCCTTCATCTAAAGTTTAGCTAGAGCTGTTTGGATGCAGAGAGCACTGTGGTAGGTACTAGGGCAGATACCAGGTGTAACTCAAATGTGGTCCCTGAACTCTAGTAGGGCATAAGACGTGAACAGATACCTATGAGACAGAATACAGAGTCCCAAAAGTCTTAGTCCTGGCACTTTGTCCTCTTTCTTCCTAAATTTTAATAGCTTAAAAAGGCATGAAGATTTCTGGGACATGCTGTGTAAGTGCACTGGAAATGTGTAAACAATGTGTTAGTGACCCATTGAAGATCAGAGATGATCATTATTGATGGAGGTAGTATTTCGTTTGAGTTTAAAGGAGGTAAGAATTTAGCCAGTGGAGCCGGAGAGGAGGAGGATGTTCCTGAAATAAAATTTAGTATGGCACCAAAGTAAGAGTAGAGGGCATGCTAGCGGGGTATGTATTGTGGGGAGGGAGGAATGGAAAGTTGAAGAGATGTGTGTTGTGTTAGCTGGATGAAGCTAGGCAAAGAAGTTATTTATTTGATAGGTCATAGGGAACCACTGAAGATGACTGAGTCTAGGAGTAACGTGACCAATTCTATGAGTTTTTGGTACCACCCAGCCCCCAAACTCCTAGACCTGTGAGTTCATTGGTATAAGTAATTCCTAATGAGGAAGCTCTCTCAACCAATGCAGATAGGTTGCTGCTCTCCAGCTCCTGGGGCACTTAGAGGTTAAATGACTTTCCCCAGTTAGGCAGCCCGGGAACTGAACCCAGCTGTTCCTGACTGAGGCCAGCTCTCCATCCACTATACCATGCTGCCTCTTGGTCAGTGGATAAGGAAGGTATTTTGGCAACGGTTTGAGGGATAGCTTAGAATAGGAGAGATCTGTGCATGTGTCTGTGATGTTGTAGGTGAATGGTTATGAGGGTCTGTAGTAGTGGAGTTGACGAGGTTTGGGGGTGCTAGGACCCTGAGAATGCCAAGACAGAGTTGCCTGGAATGAATTCACACACTCAAGCCTTCTCTTAGTGAAGTGGCAGAAAAGTTTATTATAATGCCTTAGCAAAAGCTGGCAAGGGTCCTTAGGGAACCTGCTAGATACTGAGGCTGGTACTGGGACTTATATGGAAAAGGGGCATGAGAAAGCAATGCCAGGGATACTAATTAGATAATGCAAGGGGTCCAGGTGTCTTTGGGAGCTGTGGATGGGAAAATGTAAGGAGTTTTGCAGAGATAACTTTGTTAATACCAGAAATTGAGGGAGTTGTCAGAGGCATGGACCTTGGGGATCTGGCATGAGGAAGAGTCCTTGGGCCAGCCAAGGACAAAAATCCTTGGGCCAGGCATCTTTGTGTCTGTTCGGATAAGAGAATGTGTCGTGCAACAAGGGAAATTTTCCTCGCGTGATATGGGCCTACTAAGGAATTGGGAAGCTTCCAGAGACATTATCTTAGGGCTGGGGCCCAAGCACCCCATCAGAATGACCCTAGGAACAGAGATAAAGGAATGGGTGGAGAAGTTGTGGTAGTCTGTGAAGAGTGAGCTAGAGGGAAGAGTCACACCAATGTTTCGTGTTTGGGAGATGGTACCTGGTAGAGCCGCAGAATAGAAACAGCGAAGCCAGAGGGAGGGCCACATTTGGGGGCAAGAAAATAACCTCTGTTTGGGACATGTTGAGTTTGAAGTATGGTTGGGACAGGGAGGTGACATAGGCAGCTGGAGATAAGATTTGAGCTCAACAGGGAGGCTAGGTCTGGAGATGTAGATTTGAAAGTTACAGACATGAAGAACTTGCTGATACAGAGGATAGAGAAGGAAGAGAAAAAGCAGTGTGGTTAGTGGGAAAAGCCGGAGATTTAGAATTCAGAGACGATGCAGAATCCCAACTCTGCTTAATAAATTTTCTTGCTCAATTGAAATGTTTTCAGCCATTGTATAAGCACTTAACCTCTTAGTACCTCCGTTTCTTCATCTATAAAAGTAAGGGGTTGTAGTAGATGAATGTTTTCCAGGAAGCCCTACAGCAATGCCAGCAACAGGAGTAGTTAGAAAGATAAGCAGAGTGGCTCCTTGGTGGAGCCGTGGGAGAGGCTGGTGAGCTGGGTGAAAAGCAGCAGTGAGGTGTAGAAGGTCTCCATCTGGGCAGAGGTTATCACTTCTGACCGTAAGGAGGTGGTTGGTGACCTTAAAAGGATAGTGAGTAGGTAGTTAGGAAATAGAAACATTGGGTATAGACTAGTAGTCTTTTGCAGGCTCTCCATCCTTTTGTAAGAAAGAACTACTTCCCCCCCCCCCCAAGCCTTGAAATTAAGGTGAGACAAAGACAGCTTAAAGAGATGATAATAACAGCAAACATTTACATGGTGCCTACTGTGTACAGGCACTGTGCTAAGCTCTTTACATATAATTAATTTAAACTAAGCAGGAAGAGATGAAAATCCATAATTCTCTTTGACCCTTTATCTCCTAAGTTCCTTATTTATTTTACCTTGACTTGACCACTTTGCTGGTACTTAAGCTGATGTATGTGACTGCATCACACCTGGATACTAGCAGGGCTCTGACAAAAGGCTGAGGGGATAGGAAAGGAAACTCTTTCCTTTTAGTTCAAGTGAGACAAGATTGGAATTTTCCAAAAGGAATTTTTAGGAGGAAACAAAGTAGAGAGGGCATAAATGAGGTAGTATCCTTATACAAGCATAAAAATAAAACCTATAATATGGAGAGGGCAGCTGGGTGGCACAGTGCATGGAGCCCTGGGCTGGGAACCAGGAAGATTCATCTTTCTGGGTTCAAATCCAGCCTCAAACACTTACTAGCTATGTGACTCTGGGCAAGTCACTTAGCCATGTTTGCCTCAATTTTCTCATCTGTAAAAAGAGCTAGAGAAGGAAATGGTAAAGCACTTCAGTATCTTTGCCACGAAAACCCCAAATGGGATCACGAAGAGTTGGACACAACTGAAATGACTGAACAACATTACGTATATTTCTGATCCTAACTTCAGTTATGATACGCCAAATATTTATTTGATTTGACTAACACAAACCACTAGGTTCCTGGTTCCTTTTTCTCACTGTAGCCCTATATGGGGAGCCCTCCCCCAGAAGCCACCCTGGTTAAGTTTTCCGTGGTCCCCTTATCAAGAGTTGATGCTATATAGCTGGGAGCTCTAGGCATATGTAATTTTAATAACAGGCATCCTGATCATCATAGAGCAGTCTTCAAGGTCTTTACTGGATTAATAATAATAATGATGATACTAGCTGGCACTTATATAGAGCTTTAAGGTTTGCAGAGTGCTTTACATGCATGTTAACTAGAACCTAGAGAGAAAAATAATGTATTAGGACCCTTGGAACAGAATGTTGAGAACGAGTGTCATTTGGCTGTGGATGTATGTTCCTGCTTGTGTATGTTCCTGCTTGACCCCTGTCTCTTCTCTCCGAGACTTCTTTAAAAAATGCAGTTTTACATACACAGCATTTCCTGTGCCCTAGTGCTATTAAGTGCCTTTACCCTTTCTCCCAGACTGCTGCTTCCCTCATTCCTATTATCCTTGCACTTATAATTTCATTGTTCCACTGGTATTGATCAGAACATCTCCATGCCTTCTTTTCCTATGCAGCTTTTGTCCGTGCCTTTTTTGTTTATCTGAGACTTTTCAAGTCACGTTTTAAGCAGGAGTGAGGTAGTTCTTGGTACTTCCCATGTCAGAGGGCTATGACCACATGAAAAGGAAAATGTGAACCCGTCTGTAGGGGCCTTACACAATTCCCTCCTTGACATGTGCAGGGAGAATTCCATCATTGGTTGGGCATTTCTCACCTTGCATCTATTTAGCTGTTGCCACCATCTGGTCCCACTTTACGGGTGGGTGTATTATTAGTTGATATCCAGTGGTTTCCATCTGACTGATTCAAGAACACATAGACTACTGTAGAACTTTTGGCCGATGACGTGGGTGATGTTCATTCCCTTTTGGTCCATGTTGTACTGAGTGTTCTCATCTATTAATGTGACCAGTCTTCTCTGCTGCAGTAGGATGATGCTCTTCTCCTTTCTCCGGGTAGTTTCTTCTTGTGTTAGAGGCAAAGCCTTCTGAATTCTTTGCTGTCTAGGCTGACCTTGGTTTCCTGCCTTGGCCTTCCTCTGCCCCTTTCATGGGCAGTCTCCCTTTCTTGCTGAGTTACGTTTTGCTCTGGCTGAACGTTCTCACTCTGTCGGCACCAAGGACAGCCTTGTGAGGAAGCAAGCTCCCATCCTCTTTATTGGAACCTTCTTTCACTCTGAGCTAAAGATCTTCAGGCCCCAGTATGCCAGGCAGTGCTAGTACCAGTCAGTGCTCAGGCATGGAACAGTTAGCATAGCAAGGGTGCTTTGAGTTTGTCTTATTTGACCTTTTGCAATGACATGGATAGTCATCACTCACTCTGAGATCCTGGTAATGATTCTTTAATAACAGAGAAGAATTGCCTCATGTTATTTGTGATAAAATGAGATGAATTAATACTCTCTCATTG